ACAAACCAATTGACACTCCCACTGATAGATAATGTTTGAAAGGGCCCATCCTCCCCTCCCTCCCCCGCTCCTTTCTTCACCTGGCTAAGTGATGCCTCCTTTTTCACCAGGATGCCTCCAATGAGCAGCCCCCTTCCCAGCACAGCCAGCCAGGCTCTTTGCTTCTGGGTCACCCTGTGTCTGCCTCCACGTAGCACTTTCCAAAGAAGGTTGCAATCCTCTCTTCACAAGTCTGTTTCCCACACTAGACTTTGAGCTCTTTGAGGGAAGGACTAAGCCTTATTCATCTCTTACAGGCCCTGGTCTAACACACCACAGGCAGGAGGTCAATAAATATTTGTTGAACTAAACTAGTCGGCTCTGAATCCCCAGCTCCAAGTGTAGAGTGGGCAGAAACACGTTTGCTGAATGCAAGCACGGTCTAAGCTGAACAGTGCCTTGCGCTCGGTTCCCCTGGGTCCCTGGAGATTTGTTGTCATGCATTTGGTGTCCAGTGCCTACCTTCCACTAGGCTGACTCCCAGGCCTTGCTTCCGCCACATTCCTCCGACTCTCTCTAAGCAGTTACTGTCTCCCAGTCCCCAGCTCCTGTGGAAGAACCCCTCTATGATTCTGTGTCTTGTTTCTCCTCCTCCTCCTCTTCTTCCTCCACCCGGATGCCTGGAGCCCTCTTGTCTGGCTGCCCCCAGGCTGTTCTTGCCTGGTCCATCAGTGTCCTGCTGGGAGGCTGGCAGCCTGTGGTGGCTGTGACCAGAACACCTCAACGGGGTCTACCTGGAGCCCGCCTGGGCTTTTACGATGGGGACCAGATTCCTACCCACTCCTCACCACACTGGGGCTGAGACAGGTGCAGAGAAAACATCCCTGCTGTCCTCCCCCACCAAGCAAACATACTCCTACTCTCTCTTCAGAACTGCTACCACCTTTCTGAACCTTGGTCTCCTTATCGTTCACCTTCTGGTGTTGGGAGGATCCAGTGACATTACTGAACGTGAAAGGGTCTAGGGAACTCTTATCCGAATGTAAGGCATTATGAAGCTTCACTAACGTTTTTGCACCCTCTTTGGGATAGTGAAGTCTGGAGGGAGGAAATGTGATGAGAGGCATGCAGGGGTCAGCAGAAACCTGCAGTGATGACGTGCCTAGCTGCAAGTCCCATTCCACAGATGCGAACGCCAAGGCAGGCTCCAAGTGTTGCTCATGGGTCCCAGAACCTGGCTTGCTCTATGCCAGGCCTCGTCCGAGGCTGGGGCCAGGTGGCAGATGGACAAGTGTCCTATCAGTCTCTTGTTTGTCAGAGGTTCAACCCAGGCCAAAGAGGAGTGTGCTGAGGCTGGTTGCCACGTATTTCTTCATCTTCAAAGATGAGCAGCACTTTCTAGCCTCTGAAACACTGGGGATTCAGCAGGACGAACAGAAAATGAGACAGAGGGAGGGAGGACAAGAGAATGGCAGATGGGGGGGAGGAGGGGCGTCAGGGCCTGCAAAGGCTGGAGGGGAGAGTAGGGCTAAGGCTGGGTTAGACGCACCTGGTTGGGCCAGGCCCCCAGGACTCCTTCTGGGTTCTCTAAACACAACCCCTGCCCTGAGCCTCCATTGGGAGAGGAACTCATTCATCCTGTCACCAAGTGTTACTGTACACTTTTGAGCCAAGCACTGAGTGCCAGGACTATGGAAACAACTCAGACATAGATAGCTCCTGACCTCAAGGATTCAGAGTTGGGATACAAAGAGGGAAGGAGCTAGGGGTATCAGAAAATATTGTTTTCAGGATCTGTCATGTGAACAGGACTTTTCAAAGGATGGATAGAATTGACAGGGCTGGAAAGGACTTGTCAGGTCAGAGGTCCAGGCACAAATGTAGAAAGATCTAGCTGGAACAGAGGGCTAAGAGAAAGTAGTGCCTTAGAGCCAGGAAGGGCCTTATGACGGTTCAGCTATAGTGCCAGCTGGTGGGAACACCTCAGGAAGCTGGGGTGCTCTCTCACAAGATGTAGTGGTTTATGCTCCAAATCAGTGACCAAAATGTGAGGCTCTTTATTCCACAGGCAGGAAACAAATCTAGAAACCAAGAAGTGTAGTGTAGTGGGTGGCATCTTCGATGAATACGCCAAATAACCTACTCTCAGAAATGACTGCTTTGTGTGTAACAGCCCCCAAGGCCTGCTGTTCTAGAACCACGTTCTAGAACCATGGCTCCAGGTGCCAATAATGGGGCCACTGCATTGTAAACAGAAATTGCCTGACCCATAGCCATTTGGGACATCTAGTATAACTAGGAAAACAGGCACAAAAGTGGGCTACGGTGCTGGCAAGCGTGCCATTTGGGGTTCTTAGTTACAAACACCAGAAACCAAGTCTAGTTAATTGAAGCAGAACAGTTTTATTAGAAAGCTATGGGGGAGCTTGGGGAATTGGCAAGGAGGCTGGAGAATCAGAAACTGGCAGGAACAAGAGAACTAAGCAGCCAAGGACACAGCCACATCCTGCACAGGAGCTTTCGGCTGCCAGCACTGTCAGCACGGGCCCATAGCACTGCCGCCACCACCAAAGTCATCACCACAGCAGCACAGGAGCAAATGCTTCACCACCCCAGTTCCTCGGACTTCCTCCCTCCAGATTTAAAGTACTGGACACGAATGTCTGATGCACTTAGCTGAGGTCCCAGGCCCAAGTCCCAGTTGCTCGGGTCCCAGAGCCTAGGGCTCAGGTCTCAGGCCTTGTGGGTGTTCCTAGTTGGGAGAGCCTTACCTCCAGCATGAGGCTTTGCAGCGACAGGCTTCTCCAACACCAACTGGGGACTGCAGGTGCTAGGGAGGAGTCCCTTTCTGTGAATGTACTAATTCTGACTAGAAGGAAATTAGGGCTTCTGCTATCTAAGGGAGCAGGAAGGAATATGACCAGGACCCAAGGGCGCTTCTAACATACCTCCTTGTGTGGTGCCAGTCAGGGCACAGAAAAGGTTAATATTAGGCAAACCACCACAACCCCACCCAACAAGGGCCCTCCAAGAGCGCAGACTTCTGAGACTCCATGATACCTGTGGTGCTGGCTGAACGCCAAAGGGGAACAGATTGGCTGTGAGGGATGAAGTTATAAATATCAGCTTGACCAGTTGCAGAAAAAAAGGACTGTGGCTTCCACCCATATTTCCATACTTGCAGTGAGAGAATCATAATTATCTCTTCCTTTTTTATTAAATTGGAAATTTTTTTGGTTTTACTTATTTTGTTAATATTCATGAAAATACATTGACACTGTCAAAAAAAATCAAGCAAATTAATTATTTTGGGTGAAAAAATCAAAAGCCCCTTCCTCACTCCTTTCCCCCAACCTCTTGTCCCTCCCCTGTGGTACCCACTGCCATCTGTTTAGGTACATCGTTCCAGACACTTTTATGCATTTTCATATATAGTTTGGTTTTGTAAGGTTTTATTTTACATAAAGACTGTACACATTGCTCTACAATATGTTTTTTTTACTTAACATTATGTCTTGGAGATCTTTCCATATCAGTACATACAGTTTTTAACTGCTGCATAGTATTAACTCCATTCTCCCCAAGTATTTAAGCTGGGCTGAAGGACACGCACCACTTTACATTGCGCAAGACAGCTACTCCCCAAACTGCTCTTCAGAAAGGCTGGTATCATTTACATTCGCACCAACAGCATGAGTGTTCCCATTTCTTCTCTTCCTAGCCCAAACTAGATATTATCACAGAGAAAAACTATTGCTTTCTGAGGGACACAATATATTTCATTGTGGTGTTAATTTATATGTCACTGATTGCCAGTGAGGTTGAACGTGAACAGTATCCAGGCTGTTGAAGCTGAAAACAGCTCTCAAAAAGCGTTGGTAGGAGCATAAAGTAGTACAATCCCTTTGGAAAGCAGTTTGACAATATCTAGTTAGGATAAAGATGCTCAAACCTGAAGACCCCAAAATTTCACCTCCAATCCTAAGACTGAGAAATTTCATCTCCATGTACTTACCCCTAGAGAAACTCACACAGGTGCACAAAGAGACATCTTTTAGATATGTTCATTGCCGCAAAATACTGGGAAGAACCTAAATGTCCACCAATACGGGAATGGATAAATAAATTGTCGTAATTCATACAATTGAATATTTAGTATACAGCAGTTGAAATGCATGAACTAGATCTACATGTATCAAAATGGCTAAATCTCAAAAACAGTGTTGAGTGAAAAAATCAAGTTGTAAAACAATACATACATTCTATCAATTATGTCCATTTAAAAAACAAACACTCTATATTGGTTATGGATATATACACACACACATATACATACACATGTACACATATACATACACACATATGTCTAAAAACATAGACGAGAAGTAAACACACCATTTCCTGGGTAGTGCTTACCTCTGTGGAGGAAGGAAGGTCAATATGACGGGTGAGGAACTTCACCTGTGCCTGAAAACTTCTATTTATTGGAGAGAGATCTGAAGCCAATATGGCCAAATGTTAAAAATTGTTCACTCTGTGTAGGTGGGGACCCATATTTTCTGCAGCACTTGTCTGGCATATATTTTTCTATTCCTTTTGTGTCACTGTGTTAAGGTATCCAATCAGCAGACAGCTTTTTTTTTTTTTAACCCATTCCCTCTGATAGTTTCTATTTTCTAAAATGGAATTTTAACTCCTTCACCCCTGCACTCAGTTTGGATTTATTCCTACCATTGTTCTTTATTTTTACATTGCTTTCTCGTTGTTTCTTTCCTTCCCATAGACTGACAGAGTATTCTCTATATGACCTTTACCCCATAATTAGTTTGACAATCATACACCTTATTCCTACCTTTAAAAATAATTACTGTTAATTTTTTGCTGTTGTTGGAGTCAGCATTTCCAGTGAAACTAAAGTTTTTCTACTGTAGGGAAAAAAACTATTTTTGAAGCAAATGCAAGGGATCAATTATAAAGTCACTTAGTACCACCATTTTAGACAAAACCAAACAACTCCACTATACCATGTAAAACCAAAAGAACTTTAATAAGCTTTTACAGCACTGCAATTACAGGAACATTAACCCATAACATGCAACAGAAATGATGATGCCTTTTGGACATATTTAACAGATAAACCTGACGTTACAATTAACAACAACATATTCTACTGAAGAAAACAAATGCAATTTATTTCAACTTTCAGGCTAGAAAATGTATGTTCTCACTGCAATCTCAAGTAGCATTTAGAAAGTTTAGTTTTCCCTTTCTAACCTCTAAAATACAATATGAATTTTAATACAATCGTATACAATCGTTTTCACATTGGAAATAATCACAAGAAATCAACAGGTGTAGATTAATCGACTGATTGGTTTCATTTCAATTGTTAATTTCGAGAGGGCTCCTGCAGTATTGTGGATTTCAGATGGGGAAAATCATCAGACCAGGAGTAAAGAGCCTTGGTCTTAGAGTGGGGGAGGGAACATGCAGCGGCACACAGGGCAGGTGCCTGACTTCTGAAGCCAGATGGACACGCACGGCTTGTGGAAATAGTGGTGGCACGGCAGCTCGGTTGCCACCTCCCCCTTCACATATTCACTACAACAGATAGGGCAACACATTTCCTGCCCCACCGCACTGTGATCTTCAGTGACCAAGATCTCGGGAAGAGCGTCGATGCTCTCCTTGCTCGCTGGTGGATTGGCCACCTCCACATCCACCGCGAGAGACTCCAAGTGTGCAAGGGCAGTTTCCATTGCCTGGGCCAGGCGTTCTTCAAGTGCCATGTACGTGAGGAACTGAGGATCCACATAGGAAATGGCTTCGGCCACCCCCAACCCATCTGCAAACCCATCAAAGAGGCTCCAATCCACTTCTAGGTCTTCACTCACACTGGAGTCATCTTCAAGGTTGTTGTTTCCATCCAGCATGAACACTCCAGGCTGCAGAAACTCCTGACCAGAATCATTATCCCCCTCACTGCTACTCTCATTTTCATTGTATTGAAGCCAAGGAACTTCTTCTTCTGGGGATGCCCGCTCCTCCTCCTGAAGAGATGGTCCTCGAACTTCTTCAAGTTCATTGCTGTCAGCACTGACACTAGCACTGGGGCTGGCGCTAGCACTGGCACTGGCATTCACTCTGGCTTGCTCAGGTTCATGCTCTTCTCTCCCTGGCAGAGTCTCCCAGCTTTCACCACTGGATGACAGATTTTGCTCCCGACCTCGATATTTCCGACGCAGAGCAGCAGTCCACTCTTTGTCACTGTCAGAGTCTTCATCAAAATATTTGTAGTAATCATCGCTGTACGTCCAGAAGTCAGGGTCAGCCATGGTTCGTCGCCATCTCGGCACCTTTTCTGGTTTCACTTGGTCATTCCTGGCTTCCCTCTTGTCTTCAGGGTACTCAGGCTCAGAGTAGCCACTTGAACTCTCGCCTCTGCCTCTTTTGGCTAGGCTATCCGAGTGGCCGTCATCAGTGTTGGCAGTATCCCTCCACCTGGAAGTACTGTGTGGCATATCATCATCATCATCAGTATCAAAAAATATTTTTGGTTTCACACAGTTTGGGCTTGCCAGATTTCTGATTTTGGGCCTCACCACTGGTTCCTCTGCACCCTTTGGGGTGTTTTCCCCACCACCACAAATACTCACAGGAGCCCTGCCCGGACGTGCAGGCAAATTCTGCTCCTGTCTCTCCCGCTCCAGGCTGTTACCATTTGTAGCCACTTTGCCTTCATCAGCAGGTGTCTGAGAGACCATGCTATTTTGCTGCAGAAACTCAGCTCGGCTAGCAGAGCATCTTGCTGCAGGGGCTGGGTCTAACTTGTCAAGCTCCTCTCTCACATCATGGTTAAAACTAGAGAACTGTGGGGGCACCCCAGTCAGAGACCTCACCCCTTTCTCTGGGTCATACAGCTTATCATCTTTAAACTTGCCAGTTTTCCCTCTCACTGGTGCTCGCTCAACAGGCCCAGCCCCCTCCTCCTCACTATCATCTGCCCCGAAAGAGTCAACATGTCCATAAGCCATTCCTCTTCTGCTACCCGAAGCCCTGTACTCGCGTGGCGGGTACCTGGTGTAGTCCTCATTGTCAACATTCAGGCTGGTTCCCGAGCTCTCACTGTCGTCCCAACTACGACGAGTGGTGGAAAATGGCGAGCGGCTCCTCTTGGTGGTTTGACTGGGGGCTGATCTGTGCATTGAGACTTCAGATGTCGTCTTTCTCTGGCTGGAAATTCTTTCCTGCTGGCTCGTGGACGGCCTGAAACTGACATAAGCATGCCTCCTTCCATACCTCCTGCCTGTGTTGGACTGATACCCTCCTGCTGGCTTGGGCCATACAGGCTTGCTAGATTCCTGACCCATTGCTCTGACTTAGGAGGGTTTCCAATACAGCTGGGGCTCGAGTGGAAAGGCTCCTGCTCCCTGTACACACTTTGGAGATGGGAAAGTCAAATCAGTTCAGAATAAAGGAGCAGGGAGATTTACTTTCACTTCAGCAGGCAGGTAACAGAAAGAATAAGGGGCCTTTTAAATTAGTTTCACTTTCTTCTAAGGCCTGGAGTAGCATTCCAGTGACTGTCAGGTGTAGACCTGGAACACATTTTTAATGTTGGCAAAATGATTACAAAACTGGATTTGCAGGAAAGCCACACTTAGAGGAGAATCTGACAGAAGACGGGGGGGTGACTGGATGCTTGGAAGGGGGGTGAAGTACTGTGGAATTGTGCCAACATGGGAAGAAGAAAGGCTGCTGCAGGTTTTTTACGGGGTGTCTGCGTTTTTTGGAGCCCTGCAGACACACAGGAGAAATGCAAATTGGAAAAGGGTGGAAAATATAGATCACCATGTGTGCAGGAGTGCCTATGTGTCTAGCAGGAGGAGAGGAGCAGGTGGAAGGGGGACCAGCAATCATGCAGTGGAGAGATGTCTGTGTTTGTAGGGGGAAGGAGCATGTGACAGTGACATTGGGAAGAGGTGTGAGTGTCAGAATGAGACCCATTCTGAATGTGAGTATGAAAATGACAGGTGTGGATGGGGTGGCTTTAGAGGAGAGAGGTGTGTGTGAGTATGAGAGAGAGAATGTGTGTGTGGTGTTGTATGTATGGCAGCTGGAACTCTATGCAGGGATGCCTGTGTTTATGCATCTGTGGCAGGCAAGGAAGGGTACGGTGGCATTGGACAGGGACGTCCATGAGTTTGTGTGTGTGTTCATCAAAATGGGAGGCAACAATGGAGAAATGTCAATATGAGCAAATGCATCGATGAGGACAGCACTGGAGAGGGATGTGCTTGTGGCGGGCAGGCGGAACAGGGGCCAGCAATCAAAGAAGGTCTGTATGCATGAATGTGGCTAGCAGGGAAGGGGGTGGCGTCCCTGGAAAAGGATTTATGTGAGTGTGAGTGTGTGCACCACAGGGGCCAGCAAAGGAGGGCTGTCTGTGCATACAAGTAGCAGACAGGGAACAGGAGAGGGGAGCATTTAAGAGGGGTGTGTGAACAAGTGTGTGTGGGGGCATATGTATGTAAGCGGCATATGAAAGAGGAGCCAGCAATTGAAGGATATCCTTATGTGTGTATGTGGCAGGCAGGGGATAAGATGGTCCCAGAGGGAGGGTGAGTGTGTGAGTGTGTGTGTTCTCCAGAGCATGAAGAGGCAGAAGGAGGAGGGGGCCGCTTCTGGAAGTGTGTATGGGACAGGAAGTGAGAGGTAGGGAAAGGCACTGGACGGTATGACAATGTGTGAAAGGGTGTGTGTGCGTGTGTGTGTCCATGCATGCGAGGGGGAGGGGATGCATCGCAACCTTGAGTATGGGGAGATGGAGAGGGGGCTGCAATGGAAGGTTTCTGTGCGTCTGTGTGCGTATGTGTGTGTGCATGTGTGTATGTGTGTGTATACGCGTGCATGTGTGTGTGTGTGTGTCCCCATGTGCGCACTTGGAGACATGGGGGTGGGGGCGGCGCAATGTCATAGTGAGAGACAGTAAAATGTTATCAGTCCAAAGGGTAGATCCAAACCAAACAGATATGACAGGGAAGGGGGAAAAAGAAAGAAAAGGGCGTATGTGGATATAGTTTTCCCTGGGGGAATAATTTGTTTTTCTGCCAATTCTTTTCCTGGGAACAATATATTTACCTAAAAATCTTAACAATTTACCATTCAGCAAAACAACTGCAAAATGGGGGAAGAAAGGCCACGGAGTGCTGCGCAAAGGGGCCAAGAAGGGAGGAAGGAGGAGAGGGGAGGAGAGGCAGAGAGAGGTGGGAGAGGGCCGTGACACCACTCCCCTCTCATATAGCGATTAAAGCCATTCAAGTGGGGGCCGCGCCACACGAAAGGGGCTGGAGGACGGAGGATGGAGCCCCAAAACAGGCCAATGGAGGACACAGGCCTCACTCTGCAGTCAGGTCCCGCGTCCGCCCCACCCCTTCCCGAGGGGCGAGTCTGAAAATCTGTCCTATAGAGCCCCCCACAATTCTCGCCTCCGTGCCCAGCCACTCGCCCATGCCCGGCCAGTCGTCCCACTGCCGCGTCTGAATGAATCGAGGAAAGAAACCGCCTTTCACTCACCCAGTCCCGACCCCCGCACGCTCTCGAGAGGAACAGAGCTCTCAGACCTCCGACCGCCACGACCGCCAGAGCCGCTGCTCCCGGGTCTCCAGCTCCTCCCCCGCCAGACAGCAGTGGGGCGGGCGGCGACTGCGGCGGCGGAAGTGGTTGTGGCGTCGGCTGGGGCCCGCCCCCTTGATGTGGCGGGGGTGGCAGCCGCTCTCGACAAATCAAGGAGGGCTCGAAAGCATTATTTCATTTTAAATGATGAAATCGTCAAGGATACAGAAAAGGACAGCGAAAAATGTAACCAACAGCCAGCTTTAACAAATGTTAAACATTTAGCCATATTCCCTTCTGTTCTGGGTTTTTTTTTTTTCCAGTAAAATGAAATCTGCAAATTCTTTCTGATTAATTCCAATGTGAAAGTAATTATATGACTATATCATATCCTATGTTATGTGGTATGGCTTGTACTGGAAGTATTAAAAATGTGAAACTGTATTTAGGGTTGCAGTAAGCTTAAATTTTTTTAACCTGGTGGTTGAAGCAAATTGAACTGTTTACAGTAGAATTGTTGTTGTTAATCGCAAAATCAAGTTTCTTGACTGAAATGAAAAGAAATGATCGATCATGAAGCACACACGGGTTCACATTCTGGTAATTGAATTGCTGTGCCTTTTAGAGTTATACAATTTTCTTAAACTCTGAACTCTTTTTTATAAATCGCACTTTACAATGTTATCTCTAATATTTACATTGAATGTCAAGACATCTATGTTCACAACAATAAGAAAGCTTTGTTCTTACTGGAAATAAAATGTAAAATAGAAGAACAAGAAATTTTAAGGGTAACAATAGAATAGAAATAGGCTGTATAACTTTCAAACCATTAAAGAAATAATATGTAGAACAAAGAGAAAAACTCAGTCTAACAAAGAGTAGAAATGGGGTGGGAGGCAGCAAGAAAGGATGTTAAAAAATAAAAAACAAAGGGCAGGAATAAATGCAAATACATCAGTATGTATTATGGGTTAATATCTCCTATAAAAAAGCAAACTCTCATTTTGAGCATTTCGTTTTTAGAAATCCAGTTATATGCTGTTTATATGAGTTTCACCTAAAGCAGAAATAGGAATAGAAAATATATGCCAGTTAAATACTAGCGGGAAGGAAGGAAGGAAGGAAGAAAAGAAGAAAGGGAGGAAAGGAGGGAGGGAGAGAGGAGAAGGAAGGAATTTAGGGGAAAAAAAAGAGAAGGAAAGAAGGAAGAAAGGAAAGATACATGTAGAAATATTAATATCAGAAAAATCAAAAACTCAAAGTAAAAAGCATTAAAGAGAACAAAACAGGTTGTTTCATTCACTGAGAAGATATAGTCACTAAAATTTATATGCCAAACAATGTAATTTCAAAATAAATGAGGCAAATATTATTAGAAATGTAAAGAGAGATGAAAAAGTCTGCAATTATTGTGAGAGATTCAACCGCACTTGTTATGGTATAGATAGATCACATAGACTGCAAAGAAACAAGGATATAGAGAGATTGAACAACACACTGAACAAGCCTGATCTAATGTATACATATTTTTTGGACTCAAGAAATGATGTATTTTTTTATAAAAAATATTTCAAACATACAGAAAAGTACAGAGTATTAAATGCATATTTGCATGTACCCGTCACACAGGGTGAGAAAATTTTATTTTCTTCAGATCCTCAGATCCTTCTGTTTTTGAAACAAAATATTAGAGTTGAAGCTCTCACTTTATTCTATTCATCTTCTTTTCCCAAAAGAAGCACTGTTTAGAAGTTTCCTTCTTGTCCGTGTTTTTCTTTTTCTACATATGTATATATCCATAACCAATACACATTATTCTTTTATGTATTTTAAATTATTTAAATGTTATTATAATAAATACATTCTTTTGCAACTTAAATTTTCACTTATTATTTTTTTTGAAATTTAGCAATTTGATACATTTAGATCTAGGTCATGCATTTTAACTGCTGAATACTATTGTATTAATTTTCCAATATAGTATTACTATAATATATTATATGGACATCTGTTGCATCAATTATCCAATTTCTTTATCTCTTTCCCTGCTGATAGACTTGGGTTGTTTCTGTTTTGTGCAATTATAAATGAGGATTTAATGAACATCCTAGCACATGGCTCCTCGTGCCCATATGGATGAGTTTCTCTGGGGCAAACCTTCCCAACTGGGTAATGGGTATTCTGACATATCAATGCCCTTAGCTCTCCAGGAAGATGGGCCTGGCTTCACTCAGCTGCTGCCCTGGGGACTGTTGCCTCTGGCTAAGAGCAGACTGTCTGTTCATCCCAATGAACTGGCACAATTATTAGCATTTTAACATATGCTCTGACGTGAAAAAGATTGGAAAAAATTGCTCCAGTGTATGTACATTGAAGTGAAATTTCTGGGTCAAAGGGTATATACTAGTTATCTATTGCTGTGTAACAAATTGCCCCAAAACTTAGCAGCTTAAAAAAACAAAGATTTATTACATCAGAGTTTCTGTGGGTTAGGAATCTATGCACGGCTTAGCAGGGTGCCTCTGGTTCGAAGTCTCTCATGAAGTTGCACTCCAACTGTCATCTGGGGCTGCAGTTTCATTTGCAGGCTTAATTGAGGAGTGAGGTCCACATCAAAGCTCTTTTACTTGGCTGTTGGCAGGCTCAGAAAATCCACTTCCAAGCTCACTCATGTGGTTGCTGTCGGGCTTCAATTCCTTGTCATGTGGGCCTGTCCACGGGCTTCCTGAGTCTCCTCACAACATGGCAGTCGGTGAGAGAAACAGCCAAAGAGCACCTAAGATGGAAGACATAGTCCTTCTATGACTTAAGCTCAGAAGTGACATCCCAACACTTTTGCCATATCCTATTCATTAAAAGCGAGCCACAGAATTTGTCCATTTCATCTAAGTTATCAAATTTGTAGGCATGGAGCTGTTCATAATATGTCTTTATTATCCTTTTGATGTCCGTGTGATCAGTAGTAATGGCTCCTCTTTCATTTCTGTTATTCGTAATTTTGTCTATTCTCTTTTTTCTTTTCTTTTTTTAAGTAGGGGCAGTATCTTTTTTTTTTGGCAGGGAAAGATTCACCCTGAGCTAACATCTGTTGCCAATCTTCCTCTTTTATTTTCCTCCCCAAAGCCCTAGAGCACAGTTGTATATCCTAGTTGTAAGTCATTCTAGTTCTTCAATGTGAGCCCCTGCCACAGCATGGCAACTGATAGACGGGTGGTGTGGTTCCACTACCAGGAAATAAACCTGGGCTGCCAAAGCAGTAAGAGCACCAAACTTTAACCACTAGAGCATCAGGGCTGGCTCTACTCTCTTTTTTTCGTGGTGAGCCTGGCTAGAGACTTACCAATCTTATTGATCTTTTCAAAGAATCAGCTTTTGGTTTTGTTGATATTCTCTATTGTTCTGTTTTCAATTTCATTTATTT